CAACTTCATCAGGATTTTAGAATTCTTCCTTCTCTCCTGAGACTTTTCTCCACCACTTCAGGGGTTGGGGGCAGGGGAATACTAAACTAAGATTTTAATCTTATTTAAATAAGTAATACATGCACTTGGTTTTAGAAACTCAAGTTGTATAAGAGAATATACAGAAGCAACTACTTGATGCTAGAGGCAACCTCTTGATGCTAGCTGTGTGTGTGTATTCTTCCAGAGATGATATATGCATTAACAAGCATATGCAAATGTAAATTTCCCTCTCCTCCTCTCTCCTCCACTTTTATTTTAAAAACATTAATACTAGATACATGGTGTAGGCATTTTTAATATATTCTATATCTTGGAAATCAGTTTATATCAGTACTATGGAACTGCCTAATTCTTTCTTGGAAGAGAGTGGACAATGATTTTTTTTTCAATTACAGCTTATATTCAATATATAGAGCTGCCTCATTCTTTTGATGGATCCAGATTATGTCCTTGATTGTAAATACACCATGATTTAGTTAAGCAGTCCCCTATAGAAGGGTAATTGTTTCTAATCTTTTTTTGCTTCAAATTGTGTTGTGGTGAGCATCCTTACACATCAGTCTTTGTGCATGCAAGCAGGGCACAAGCAAAATAGTGTGGGCATACTGCTTAAGAGTCAGCATTCCTATCATCAGATTTTCTTTAAATGTTCACTTTGTGAAGTGAAAGATAATTGAATACTAAAAAATATTGTAAAAAAGGAAAACCACGATTCTCAACCCCTCGAAAAAACATTTAAAAAAATATTTGAACAATCTGAACTGGAATTGCTAGATTGAAGGGTTTACCATTTTCATTTCTGAATGGAGAAGCTGTCATTTTTTTTGTATGTGTGTTACTGTTTCTGTAACCTTTCTATTTATGTGTAATTGATTTATTGCATTTATTTTCAATGTCTGCTATCTCTTCAGTTCATCTCTTTATTCTGAATTCTGAGGAAATTTCTGAGGCATTCTATTCACTGTTTGCTTTCTGCAATTCACAGTTTCTGTGATTATTGAATTTTTAAGCATATTATAATCATCTTTTTTATTGCTTTGAAATACTCATATGTTCTTATATTGTTCTGTCAAGACTATTGGCCTTTTATCTTTTGACCTTTTTTATTGAAGGACAATATACATAAAAAAAGTACACCTTTGTTATCAGCACCCAGATTAAAAAGACAAAAAAGCAGATACTAACCACACTCCAGACCCTCCCTTGTGCTCCTTTTCAATTGCAATCCTCCGTGGTTAACCACTCCTGATTTCTAACACCATAGATTTCATCTTGTTTTTTTTTAAGTGTTATATAAATGCAATCATACAGTACATACTGCTTCTCCCTTTTGTTTAACATTATGTTTGTAAGAACTATCCATATTGTTGCATGTAATTGTATTTGTTTTCATTGCTATATAGTATTCAACTACATAAATAAACCACAGTTTGCTCACTCATTCTACTATTGGCGGACACTATGTAGTTTCTAGTTGGGGGCTATCCTATGTAATAAAAGCCTAATATGCTAAATGTCCAACCGTTTGAACATTTGACCAGTAGCTATGACATGCACTGACCACCCGGGGGCAGACACTCCAACTGGTAGATTAGCTTGCTACTGGGATCCAGCTGATTGGGACTGGGCGAGACGGGCTGGACATGACCTGGAGCCTTCCCATGGTCCTTCTCTGGCCCCAATCATGCACCGGTGGGGTCCCTCAGCCAGGCCTGCACCCTCTCGCAATCTAGGACCCCTCAGGGGATGTCAGAGAGCCAGTTTCATCCCGACCCCTGCAGGCCAGGCCAAGGGACCTCACAGGTGCATGAATCCGTCATCAATAGTGCCTCTATGAGGATGTGGAGAAAAAGGAACACTCGTGCACTGCTGGTGGGAATGCAGACTGGTGCAGCCACTGTGGAGAACAGTATGGAGTTTCCTCAAAAAACTAAAAATGGAACTCGCATTTGACCCTGTGATCCCACTTCTAGGAATATATCCCAAGAAAACAGAAACAGCAGTCAGAAAGGATATGTGCACCCATATGTTCATAACAGCACAATTCAGCATAGCTAAGATCTGGAAACAGCCCAAGTGCCTATCACTAGATGAAGGTTGGGGGGCTGAGGGGGGGGGGGTTAGAGGAGGCCAGGGACACATATGTAATACCCTTTGTAATACTTTAAGCAATAAAACAAAACAAAACAAAAAATAGTGCCTCTATGGACACTTTTGATTGGGTCTTCTGATGCACATATGTACATATTTTTTGTTGGGTATATATATCCAGGAGTAGAATTCTTTTTTATTAAATCTTTATTGTTCAGATTATTACATTTGTTCCTCTTTTTTCCCCCCATAACTCCCCTCCTTCCAGTTCCCACCCCACCCTCCGTCCTCACTCCCCACCCACTGTCCTCATCCATAGGTGCACGATTTTTGTCCAGTCTCTTCCCGCATCTCCCACACCCTTTTCCCCCCCAAGAATAGTCAGTCCATTCCCTTTCTATGTCCCTGATTCTATTATGATCTCCAGATTATTTATTCACTTGATTCTTAGATTCACTTGTTGATAGATGCATGTTTGTTGTTCATAATTTGTATCTTTGACTTTTTA